TCAACATCATCCAGCCACACATCAGAAACAACTACAAACATGGCATCCTCATTCTCCTCCTCCAGCTGCTTCAGTTTGGCTGAAGCTTTCACCGAAGTGGTGGATGGACCACCAAAGAAGTTTATGTTGCCGTAGTATGCCCTGGCAATAAAGCAAGGGAACATAGTGAGGGTGCAGGAAGAGTGTCTATGGAGCTCACAGAATAATACAGGATTCACTTTAAGATACTGAAAACCTCAACAAAATATAGTGGTGCCTGTGGACCTCGTCAGTGACTCACTGTTGTTTTAAATGAAGCTGTGTCCTTTATAAACTACATTTTTACAAGAGGCAAGTATCTTGTAAAAGATAACTTAATGCTAAACTTAAACCTCAAATATTTATAAATTAGTATATCATGTAGTTTACTTCATCACTTAAGAATATTTGGCAATGATATTTTCACTGCATTGCAAAAACAAGGTAAAATGCCTTCACAGATGACACCAAATTCTGCTTCACCTTTGCTGTAATTTCAGCATGTGAAAAGCTACACACTTACCCCAATATCTAACGTCAGGCTGCACATGCCACTACATCGACAGCTCAGTACTTAAACTTGCAATGAAAGTTTATCTGAACTCTTTTCCTCCAATCCACTGACCTTGTGGCTGATGACAACTCTGTTGGTGGAAACCCGAAGCCATTGATGTGAAAAACTGAGTCCTCGTACCAACCTAAAGGACAAAACTTTACTTTTCATAATGTATGTAATGTATTACTTTTTAATGTTGTAGTCTTGTTTTCATTTCCTTTACTTTTATCTTACCCTCTGCCAGTACAAAGCAGGATTCTGTATACAGGCCATTATGAAACTGGTGAGAACCCAGTTAAGGAATATATACATTTTAAAATAAACTAAAATATTACATATTATAAAGTCATTTTTGTCCAACAAACATCTGAAAGGATATTGCTTTGGACATGTCCAGCTGTACTGTTCCACTCGGGTCTTCCAGGTAAAATTTACCCTTTAAAAGAAGATGAAGAAATCTTTCAGAAACTAGATGGAAATATACATTGTACAGGAAAACAGACCTCTAAGAACTTGGGGCATGGAATATCATTAACTCGCCTCTTTCAGCTGTGTGACCATCCCCAGTACAATCACCTCTCCCAGTTTAGCTGTGCTACCAAGCAGTGCTTCAATTGTCTTGAGCTAGAGAAGACAAATCACAAAAAAGAAGAAAGTTACAAAAACTGTCAAATGCAAAACAGTACGATGTGTTATATTTTCCAACTATCAAAGCAGCTAAATACTGATGAGTGTAATGGCTCAAGAAAAATAAATACCTTGGTGGTCATTATAGTGGTTCAAAATTTGTTACCTGAAATTTGTTTTGACCCTCTTCAACAGCAGCTCCTATTGCAGGCGGGGTGAAGAGCTCATGCCGATGTGTACGCTACAAAAAACATGTCTGTATAAATACGACATGCAAGCTACACATACTGGAAAAAGCAGCAAAGTGTGGGTCAATTCCCCAGTCTGGATAATGAATAGAGCTCACTAACTTGCTGTAAGATAGTGTAGCGCTCCCTGAAGAGTTCAGCTTTGTCTTTGGCCAAACCACACAGACTGGAGGCTGGATGGCTCGTCATACTAATGCTGGAGGGAAGAAAAGCCAAAATGAAAACTTTAAAAATGTCGCCTGCAAGCCGCAGTAGACCAAACGGTCTGCAGTACATTAAGCATACACACTTGGCCTAACACAAGCAGCAAAAATCACGAAGGAGAAAGAAACTGTCCCCTTTACTCACGGAACAAATTTCTTCTGCTCCACACTGTAAATGTATCTGGGCACATCAAAGGCTCCAATGATGTTGAAAACATTATCGCTGGAAGAAAGTTAAACTGTTATTTTTAAGATGTTCTACAGGGAAAAAAAAGCTGATAATGCTGCAACATCTACTTGAATATGATATAAAATGGCCAATTTGAATTTGCATTATTACAATATAGCAAGGACATAACTAAATAACCTACCCTACACATTAAGATCTCAGTCTTAGTTTCTTATTCAATTTCTACACGTTTCAACTGTTAAGTTTGTTTTTAAAAAAAAAAAAGCTCAATTGATATTAATGATGTCTCATTTAACTACATAACATGCATCATGATTAAACATCATTACAAATATTTATTCAACTCAAAAGATTAACTTGGGTGCACCTTAAAACTAACATGGAAATGGGCTGGTGACAGAAAAGGATTTAATTATTTTACTAATTTATCAGTACAATTAAATAAAACACATAAACACTTACATGGTTTCATCACAAGACTGACTGCAATCCTGTACAGCACTTTCCACCACAGACAGCTCTATCATGCTAGAGGACACTGTTGGAAAACACAAACATTACACATTAAGTGCTGCACACAGCACTGCACTAAACACACTGTGATATGTGGTGACTGGTAGTGCTGTACTTACATGGTTGCTTTTCCACTGCATCCAGGACCCTTTCAATAACATCATCCAGTTCAGAAGGATCGACAGACTCCAGCACCTCCACAAGATATTTGCTGGCTTCACTGTAGCACAAAACAAGAAAACATGCATATGTTGTTGTTTCTTCCTTTTGACTGCTGCTAGAAAACTACAAAATGCCAATTATCAACAGCAGAATGTGTTGGTGCTTGCTTCAATTTAAAAATTTCACTGGAAACATTTGAAACTTCTCAATGAATTTCTTAATTTCTTGGGGCTTTATAAACAATATAAACAGGTTAACCAAGGAGGGTTAAATCAAGGCCAACTGGACATGTTGCCCTTGATTTAACCCTCCTTGTTTGACTGAAAATCTTTACAGACATAAGGGTTGAATTGTTTCAAGCATTTTTTGCTTGTTAAATGGAGATAGTAGATAATAGTTGCAAATTAATCTAAAGCACTTTAGGAGTTGAAATGTAAGTTTAAGTTTAATCACTGAACGGTGAAGTATGAGAAAAGTTTAGCTTAATTCCTGCAATCAGGTGATGTGTTAAACTAAAAGTGTTAATCCTAGCCTAGTTAATCTAAGAAAAGAATGCTAGAATAAAAACAATTCAAATATCAGTTCAATTGTAACTGCAGAGAACTGTTAGATTATCAGTTCAAGTTAAGCAATAAAAGGCACCAAGGCATTCAGTACAATCAATCATAGTCTGGTATACAATTAAGCAGAAAGCACCGCGTCCAGTGTATCGAGGTGAGACATAACGTTATTGTGTTAGCGCTCTTGCCGTCAGTAAGTAACATTAGCAAAAGCATGTACAATACAATTTGTAATACCATTTACAAAACAGTACATACGGTCGTAGTATAAGTCCCCGCATCTTGAAGCCACCGGACACTTTTGTCTTTATTTTGCGAACAACATCCATAGTTGTTAACGTTACTGTTCAGCTCAATTCTTGGCGCTAAATGTCCATTTCCGCATGTGTTGCATCACTTCCGTTGGTGAATCCCGCCCTCCTCCTTTCAGGCTATTGTTGATATGTGTTTTTTTTGTTTGTTTGTTTCTTTTTAACGCCCTAGCACCATATTTCCTGGTTTTATTCATATAGGTGCATACATGTTACTGTATTTTGAATTTATGATTGCTAAATTTCGTATTTTTATTAGTATAATTTAAAAAATTTCAGCAGGCAACTGTGGTCATTTAAAGGGATTTTATTGTGATAATTCAAGAGGACCGGAAGTTGTTAGAACATCTTTTCTCTTTGACTCCACAGGTAGGATGCGTGGATGGCCGAGTACTGTACTGTATCCGATTGTATCCCGTATCCCGTGAGTATATTTTAAAGAGTTGTAAAAAATCTATTTAGTCGTGTTTTGGATTTTTTGGTGAGTTTTGGTTTTCAAACATGTCATGTCCTAAACATATTTAAACATATAAACTGCCGTGCAATAAATCCAACCTTAATGACGGTTATAATGTTCAGTTTTCGTTGAAACTCTTTTAGAGAGGAATTGACTCAGCTGTATGATCGTTGATGATTTTTTGCAGTACTGTTGTTTTAGACTGCTTTAGTTTTAAATAGGTGTACCTAATAAACTGGCAACAGATTTCAGTGACAGGTTCAAGACTTATTACATATTTTCATAGTAACAAACAAGTTGTATCAGTTGCTGGAGAAGACATCTTGCCGCACCCAGTGATGAGATCTGGATATATAACTTAAAACAAAGTGTATGGTAAGAATATTGAATACGTTTAAATGCAAAATAGTATGACATGTGTGCAGAATGGAATGACAAAATGTTCTGTTGGAAATTGCCGCTTTCAGTGAAGACAGCTGAAAAGAAACTCCCCATGCAGATAAACAATAATGTTATGGTTAATATTGATCAAGGTTTGTATGGGATTTTACCTCAAACCTAACCACAATTACAGGCACACCTACTGTGACTCTGTGTAACTCAACATCAGAATGTATATGTATGTAGTGGCAATTAATAGATAGGACATTATAACATATATAATAATATTCATGAATAACGACAAACAATATAACACTGAGACTGTGAAAAAGTCACATTTTTAAAAGCTTCATGTAATGTGATTTCATCCTCTTTATTTTCACAATAAGAGATTTTATTGCAGGTCATTTTTATTGAACTCCAGCAATCAAATTCCAGATTGTCCTTTTCCAAGATATATTTTTACACATTTTCCTCAGTGACTGTTTTATTTCTAAATGTCACTTTTTAACACGTAGTCTTTGTCTATCAATCAAGAAAACATACAATAAATAAATTATTGTGAGAATCATCAGGATTAACTAGCTTATGTAATATAATATTACTTAATAATAAGCACACTTTAGAAATAATTGAATTACTTCAAAATGTCATGTCATTAGGTTTTGTTTATATAATTATTTATTTCATAATTGGATATTGAATTATTTAATAAAACAACCGTAGAAAAACACTTTGGTCTCAATGTAGAGGATTTATTTTGACAAGAGAGGGACCGGAAGTTGTATTTTATTTTGTAGTTATTGTGACTATTCTATTGGAGTTGAACCATAGACTTGAACGAGGCGTTTTATCCTGCTGTGTTTTTTAGGTGTTCACAACATGAGAAAAAACCTGTACGATATCTGACAGTGTGCTGTGACCTGTGAGTATGTTTGTTAGTGTATTTGTTGACATTTGTTGTGAATGTTTCCGTATTGTGGATACCGTTGGAAAGTTGTTTACCTGCAGCTATGTAACGTTAATATCAGCTCTCCGAATATGACGTTGCGTCGATTTCCAATTTTGTATAAATACCGTAACCCTATAACAACAACAACACGAAGGGATTGAACGCTTGTCTTGTGTCAGCTCTGCACGCAGTTATTACCTCCCTTACTATAAGGCTGTCCTTACTATAAAGGTCGAACGAACTACAGCTGAGCAGGTAGGTGACATTTTTAGACATATATGATCATTTTAGGCTTAAAGGTACGTCTTCCTTTTCTATTTATAACAGCCAGCCATGGATTCTGCACTTGAAAGGCATTGCTCAGAGCTGGTGGCCCGGGAGAGGAGCGGACACACGGCTGTGGTGGAGGAAAACCTGCTGTATGTGTGGGGAGGTTACATGGTGAGAAAAACAAACATTACCAAACATTATCAACGTGTGTCCAGTTGTCTTAAGGCCAATTCGCTGTTTGACCTATTTCTAGTTTGTGCTAGCTAAAGTAATCTTCCTACTCCATAAGTTAGCATTTTACAACATGTCAGAGGGAAATATTGCATTTTGCTGCGAAACATATGACCTGCTTGTGAAATATGATGCATGGCTACAGATAAAACTAACGTTACCAAAAACTACATAAACCGAACAACTACAACACTAGATGCTGCTTCCATGTTTGTGCATAATGCATCAATAAGCCAGTAACAGTGTTAACCATAACACTATGTAATGATGCACTGTGCATAACAAGTCCTTTAGGTGTAATACATTTTTATTTTTACTCAGAAGTTTTAAATGTATTTTTGAGTATTTTTACAACATGGTATTTCTACTTTTACTTAAGTAAAGGATGCGACTACTTCTTCAACCGCCGTTTACACAATACATACACACAACTGAACAAACCGTCTTATGCAAAAAATCTTTTAAAAATGCGTTTGAATATAGTTTTCAGTCACGTGACATGTGCGGTGACCTGGAGGGCAAAACAACTGGCCAAGATAGCGGCTCCCACCTGACTCCCTCATAGAGACGCCGCAAAAGCCGTTCAATTTTATTTGGATCACCTCTCAACTCAAGAAAAAGATAGATATGAACACGAACTGCAAGTGTTGGGCACTTGCGATCCATATACAGCACCCACTGCTGTATTCTGCCGTTTAAAGCGCTCGACTGTGGTGATGTTTACGTTGACCTTGTAGGGAATCCCTCAGCTAACACAGCTCAGGCTTGTCTCCTCGTCGATTAGTGCATCCGAAAGCACAACCAGCATTTTGGCAACGCAAAAGTAATAAACTCAAAGTAACAGTGTATCACTTGCTTCCTGGTTGGTGGGCAGCAGAAAACACGTCTTTTTTGCCCTCCAAGGGAGCGTTTTCCTGGGAATGTGCCGTCACGTGAAAACAGTTTTGATTGGCAGAATGAGAACAGACATTTACTAACATGCTTTTGCATTGGACATAATTGTTTTGTTTGAAATTACTGATATATTTCCATAGCAGTGACTCAAGGCATATTGCTACTACACGTATTTATTTCATAGTAATACATGTTGTTTTCTCTACAGTCGGTTGCTGACGATGAAGTTTTCCTACCCAATGATGAAATCTGGGTATATGACTTAGAACAAGGTGTATGGTAAGACTGTTACATAAATTCCAAATATGCTTGTTTGTGGTCAAAACAAATAAAATTAATGCATGTGTTCCCACATATTCTCACATTCTGTCTTAATTTCTCTCTTGCTTTTTATACGTTTTTGACACAGTCCTTGTAATGTCACATCCATTGAACGTTTGAGTTGACAAGCACTTGCCTGGAGTAGGGCTGAACAATTAATCGAAATTTTATCAAATTCTGTCAAAATGATCGCAATATAATTTTTTTGTGCGCATTGTTCAGCTCTAACCTGAAGCTTGCTGCTGTCTTGTAATCATTGCAAAATTTGTTATGACGTAAGTGAATGTGAGCAGTGTATACACATTCTTTAAATCTTTTTTTTTGAAAGGGAAGTGTTTCACATGTCAGGGGACGTCCCTCCCTCTATGTCTGGGACATGCGGCTGCTTCCTGAACGGACACATGTACATATTTGGAGGTTGTGATGACAATGGACAGACCAATCAGGTGATCCTGATAAGTCAAGCTCCACACAGTACATGACACCTTAATTATAGTTTACTTCCCATAAACTAATGTTTTTCTAAATTTTTGTGTGGTTAAATAACGACTATGAGCATATATATAAACTCACATGTAAGGCCGTGGGCACATTGATCCAGAAGAGTTATTGTTGTTGTTTGTCTCAGTTTGTTTTTAATAATTTACAATATACTGACAATGCAGCAGTGTGGACAGCAACAAAAATACCTGCTCAGATCTACTGGCCAAGCGAATGCTGGCAATACCGAAACATTTCCACTAGTTGTGGTAGAGAAGTGTCTACCTTTCTAAATTTTTCTGACAATCAAAATAGACTCTGACAGAGGCAGATGCATCAGCAGCCACATACAATAAAAATGGACATTCCTCATTGATAAACAACTAACAAATATGAATGGATGGACACAATGGATCAATGTGAACACACCCAGCTTAGATTGAGCAAAGATGACATGAAGAAGTGATCAGTGTTTGACTTCAAACAGATCTATTGTGTCAACCTGACAGACGGTAAATACACATGGAGGAAGATCATGCATGAGATCGGTTCTGCACCCTCACCTCGAGACAAACTGTCCTGCTGGGTTCATAATGGAAGGTAAGCTGCGCCATGGATTTAACTGTGTGAAGTTTGTTACTGTGTAATTCACTATGGGCAAGTTGTAGTTTTAACTTTCTGGACTACTGCTCCATTATTATTGGTTAAAATACAGGACTTAATCCTGTACTCAACTGTAAGGTTGGATGTGCAACACTATTCACTCTTTTTTGGTTTATGCTGATATCATTTAGTCTGCATTCACTCTTTCTTTGTCTTATAAGACATACTCTTCAATTTTTCTTCTTGCAATAACTAAAACATCCAAACCATATTCTTAGTTTCTGTTATCTGAAGCTGCTAAAAACATCTGTTCTAGGAGATATGTCTAATTATATGTTGAGATTAGAACTAACTGTGTTGGATTGTGATCACTCCGTTGCCCAGTAAATCCATAATCTGCGCTTGCATGATAGTAATTGTGATCATCTTCGTTTGATATTCTCCAGGATTATCTACTTTGGAGGATATGGTCACAAACTACTGACTGACGTCGATAGCAGGAACAGAAGCTTCATTGTAGATGAAGCTTCATGGGTGATGTTTTTTATTGACTACACATCAGTCATACATCAGTCATACATTTTTTTAAATACACAGGTGACACATATTTGGAGTCTTCTGTGTTCTTTTGTCCTTTTTTCCTGTCATTTTTATGAGATTTTGTTCTAAAATGCGAGAAACTTCAGCGTCTGGTGACACAACTGTTGAATCATTGGTACTGTCCAAAAAATACTCCATGTAAATTTTGAAAAAGTAGTAGTTTCTTTGCCCTTTATTCAGCTATCTTGTTGTTTGCAGGTGGAAGATGTCTTCTGGGGATGGAACAATGAGGTTCATATATTTGACCCCATGCATGCCAGCTGGAGTGAACCACAGACCCATGTAAGTCATTTAGTGTGATTCAGGCTTTTATATGCTGAATGCAACAGATTCTGCTTGGTGATTTAAGAGACAAGGGAGGTTTTTGGAAATCTGTTAAGACAATTTCAAAATCCTCAGATGACTTCACAGTGACAGTTTCTCTGTGCAGGGCCGTGCTCCCGCCCCCAGGGCCGCCCACGCCAGTGCCACAATCGGATGTAGAGGATATGTTTGTGGAGGCAGGGTCATGGTGAGAGCTCTACGATCTTTTCAGTTCTTCTTGCATGTCAGAATTCACAAGAGGACAACAGGAAGTCATAGGTAGCAACTGCCATTCGTAGCTCGTCCTCCTTTTCTTTTAAATGCAGGAAACTCGGACGAGTGACATTCACTGCCTGGACCTTGAATCATGGACGTGGTCAGAAATGTATGTATGTGATCAAGACCAAGAAGTCTTAAAATATGAAGAAATGATTCTCTGTTGTGTTTCCATCCTATTCATTGTTTTTTTATTAGAGAGAAAAACATACACATGATCATCACAGAGACTGTAGTCTGGCCAGAATTCAAATAACTACATTCAGTGAACATGTTTTTTAACATGATTTCAATTTCAACATTATCACTGATATTTAAAATGTCCTAATCCTTTGTCCGGTTAGTCTTTGAACACACTGTGCAAAATATGTTTTCCAGAATCCCAGTGTCCACCTCTCCTGTGGGCAGATCGTGGCACACGCTTACAGCAGTATCAGACAACAACTTGTTCCTGTTTGGAGGTCTTAGTGTAGACTGCAAACCTATGAGTAAAAAATGCACCCACTTCTTCACTTTTATTTTCCTTTGTTCATTTTATGCTCTTTAACATTTTTTCTTTTCAATAACACATATTTTTCATCGATCAGGTGATGGCTGGTTGCTTGATGTTGAAACAAAGAAATGGAGAGAAGTCGAGCATCCTTTTAAGAACAAGCCACGGTAGCACCTTATTTTTAGAAAATTGTGCAACCAAAGTACTGGGTGTATTATTATGTACAAAAGCTTCAAAGGGTTACTGTAAATTGTGAGAGTTTAAATAGCAACTTTTCCCCCGTCTAAGGTTGTGGCACACAGCGTGTCCAGACAAAGACTCTGATGTGATTGTGTTTGGTGGAAGTTGTGACTACATACTCCTTGTCGACACCGTAAGTATCACAGAGACACTTCTGAAGCTAAAAAAATAGATGTGGAATTATTCTAATTTTATAGACCTTTGGAAATCAGTACATGATAAACCAAAACCCTTTTAAAAACCTAAATCCTGAATCCATATTAACATGGGCACATCACTTAAACTATGTGGAAAGATCAGTAAAAATGATAAAAGGATGATCTTTGACTGGATGAACAACTGTTATTTATTTAACGCTCAACAACTCCATAATAAAGATGTATTAAGGTGTTGTATAATTTAAAAAAATTATTATTATTTCTGTTGCGCCAAATCATAACAGAAGTTATCTCAGGGCACATGGTACAGGTCAGTATCCCTGTACATTCATCAGAGAAAACTAGCATTTCACTTTCTCCATAAGTAATGTACTTAACAGTAAGTAGACTTAACATAAAAACCTCGCCCGCAGTATGTCCATGTATTCCACAGATAATACTTTAATCAAAACATTGAGCAAAAAGGAACTTAGTATGCACATCTTTGAGAGACAATATTTGTGCTGGATATTTAGTCTTTAGTATTTAGAACTCAAAATGGACCTTGACGAACCTTGCATATTTTTTCAGGGTCACTGCAATGATGCACTTGTTTTCCAGATGCAGCCCTATCCTCTATTCAGGTAAATTCAGAAATATAATAATTCTATAGCAGAAACCAGACACAACAGACCTTGTGACTTGTCAAACTGCTGCATTACAATTAGGTGTGTCATTTCCAGAGCCCTGGTAATGTGCATGCTCATGATCATTAATATTATTGTTACCTGTGCTTTTACTGTTATGCCAAGTAAAAATATCTGTTTGGATGAACCCCTTGAGATGTATCATCTTGTTTTCAAGGGTTATATTTACTTCGATTATGTAATCGTTTTCCCAAAATAGAAATGAGAAATGACACTTTTTCCTCTGACAGGATTTGTGGGGATTACATTGCAAAGAATGTGAGGAACCATGAGATGCTCAGAAATCAGCTTCCTCTCCTACCTCCCAAACTATTGACAGCTGTGCAGAGGAGGATGTCTTTCTACAGGCCTTCAAAGAAGCAGAAATATTAGTTACAACAATGTCTTAATAATTGCCAGAAACAATGCAAATAATGTTTTATTTATGTACTGTATTCTCCCCAGTGTGAACATCTCAGTCACACTGTGGGGTAGCCTTTTTATTTTTTATTGTTAAAAACATTTTACAGTGTTAATATTTATTTATTTTACAGATGCACATTTTATCTTGTATAGTCTGGCTGCGGAAATACTCTTACAAACTGTTCCTGTGGTGATTGTGATGATTAAATGGCACATTGAACAGTTTTTGCCTAATGTGGATTGTTAGACTAGACAGGTATTTTAAGTATTAGTTAACTAAGCAATACTGTAAAGGCAGAAGTTAAACAAACACACACACACACACACACACACACTTTCTCCCAGAAGCTTCACACATGATCAAAAATACAGCAATAGTCCATTTTTATTTGCAATATAAAACAAAATTACAAAACTATTCCTCTACATTTCTGGTTGAAATTCACCTTTCGTTAAACAGTTACAAGTGCAGTTGTTGTTCATTCAGACAACTACTGTGTTCCACCACTATGTGGCAGCAGGCCTTTATGTTTGAATGTGGCTGAATCTTGTATTAGCAGGCAGAAACACAGCTGGGTCAAACTGAGCATGACTGAAAGTCTCTGTTGCCACACATTCCTTTTTCATAAGGGTGGAGAAGTGCAGGAACTGTGGTCAGGAAGGAAACCTTAAATAAACAACCCCAGCTCATACCTTTGGAGGGTTGCCACCTATGGGAAAACTACCCTACACACTGCACTGTACAGCGTCAACAATGTGCCTTTGCTGCTAGATTTGAGAAGGACTGCTGAGTTTCAGCAACCAGAGAAACATCTGTTCTCTCTCCGTTATCTATTAACAGACAAGTTAAAGTAAAGTAAGTAATAGGTAACAAATAAGTAGGTGTGTTCTCTGTGGGAGGCCAGCGACACTGGGCCACCCACAGCTCAACACAAAAAATGTTACATTTATCCAGGAAATCCTTCCTTAGTAGCAGAAAATTGTCAAAAGAAACCCTGGTTCACTTTCACTTTTTAAAATGTCTTCTGCAAACCTATGAATACAGCTGAAGAGGGCAACAGCTTTGCTGCAGCTTTCTCAGCTGGGGGTCAACTAAACTCTCTCTCAATAGTGTCCATCAGCTCCTCTTCTGATCCATGGTAAGGGATGACTGGCATGGTGAGAGTGGGGCTATGGCAGCTGCCATAAGTCCTGCAGAGGGTGGAGAAACATGGTAATAGAAAATATAAGTGGTAATTTTCAAATAATAAACCAACCCACAACAAGATCGAACAATCAACTGATGAAGTTTCAATGAATATGATGCACACAGGGGCCATCCTGGTGAAAGGACCAGTGGAATGAAATATATTCTGCCTTGTTATGGAAATGCGTCTTTTTGTGTTTTTTGTGGCCCGATGGTCACTCACCTTCAACAATGCTGCAACAACAAACACTTGTTTGTTTCTGTCCTGCTTGCTGACGTCTGACTAATCTGATCTGCCCTGAGAATAATGGGTTGGTATTTCGATCCATTCAAGGTAAATTTGATCTGGCCCCTCTCGAATTTTACTACTCCTCTGAGCTCGGACATCGATTATTTATCAGAGTTTTCTACTTACGATTGTTTTTCTGACGCGGTACCAGCTTCCAACAAAGCTCCTCTTGTCAAAAAGCCCCGAGAGGAGGACTGATATCAACGAGAAGGGAGAGAAGGAATCATTTTCATTTCAACACTGAACAATTCTCCAGCATCATTGTTATTTTAAAAGCAAGAAATCGTGTCTGATACTAATTTTCAAATAAAGTAAAATAAAGCCCTTACACTGTGCTGACTTGGGCACGCATGTGTGTGTTTTTTAAAGTGTGTGAAAGCATCATTGCCCCTTTTGTTTACATCTCTTGATAGGTCGTGTGATCCACGTGGCTCCTCGGCTCTGGAACTTAAGTCCTCGTCGTCGTCCTTACTAAAATTACACAGTCCGTATGTTTTGGATCTGATGTCGGTCTTTTTGGGGGGGTGTTTCTTCACAGAAACTCTCCCTCGCTCCTCGTAATCTGCAAGAACTGTGTCCAGCTCTCCATCAATGTCATCGTCCTCTCTGGAAAAGTCAGAGTCGTGCCCCTCGCTGTGGCAGTCCGGTTGCGCACGGTTGCGCGCGTTGCGCAAAATGGCATGGATTTTGAGAGGCTTGAACGGACTGCTGTCCTGTTCGGGTGAAGTGCCGGCAGCTGTTTTGGTCACGTTTACCTCGCTGACACACACAGGTGCAACTTTCTTCCCTCGGCTTGTACCGCTGCCCATGTCCGTCAGTCTGGCTGGCTGCTTTCACAGTCTAAATGCAAAGTCCCATTTCTAAATTCCTTGTCAGGCTAGAGTTGAACATTAACCAACAAAGACTTCGTTGGCAGCGTTAAAGGTCAGTTTTCAATTAGGTTTACGGTTGTAAGACAGTTGTTTGGCTAAAAATCTGCTCTGAAGGCCACTTTTTTTCTACCGATCTGCAGACGCGCCGCTGAAATGATCACATATTCCATGTTCACAGACCGGACTTGAGTCAGTCACGCTGCCTGTAAACTTTCGGGTGACTCCACATCAGGATGAGAAGCAGAGTATCCGTTACATAACACTGGTTTGGCTCAGGACCCCAGGGAGAAAACTCCGCCTTCTTATGGAGCGGAACACACACCCTTTACAGTATGTCTCCATTATTTATACTGGACAAAAATAACTTCCACTTTTACTTCAGAGCCTCTGCCTGTGTTTTCTTAAATCCATTTGACATATATAATCTAAAACATTTCTGGGGAAAAAAACTGAGTAAGGAACAACTGGTAGCCTACATTTAAATATTCAGCCATTCCCTGGACTGAGAGAGAAATAAAGTCAGGATTGAGACAGTATGACCATGAATGGGCTAATTAGTTTGATTTATCTTCATCACATCACCAACAATGACCAAACTTTTACTTGTCTGTGTTCACCTAATAGATTTTAAAGAGGAAAGTGAGGTCAGGAGTGAGTGAGTTCCTGTCAGCCTGCCGGGCCTAGGAGGCCCCCAGCTCAACCAGCTCCTCCAGTGACTGATTAAGACTCAAGCACTGAGCCACAAGGGAGAGAGGGCATTCCTTTCTGACAGCTTGGGCTTCCCAGAGATTCCTCACTAAGCTTTTGTTTGGTCCACTTGCACATACAAAAGACACAGCGGGAGCATCTCCCTGCCAGAACTGTCCAACAAGAACCCAGAGTTCACCCGAGTAAAGAAGTTGTTTGCTATCTTTCATTAAGTGCCTCATTCTCTCTCCCTCTCTTTCTCCTTGCTTGTGTGTGCGCACAAGACAGCTGTGCAACCTGTTCTTTCTGAAGGATGACCAAGTCAAAAACACCTGCTGTTTAAGCAACTGGCATTTTCCAAACTGTGAATGTGAGATGGGGTCGGGTGGGGGATCCAAGTCCCAGATGTCTCATGGAGGAAATTCTTGCTTTACTTTTTGATTTTTGGAAGATGTTGGGAGAAAATTGACACTATTATGCTTTAATGTTACTGAAATAGGATGCTTATGATAAAAACTACTCAAGGAGATACAAAGCTCTTCAGTGTGGCATCCTGACTATTACCATATCAACTTGAATTCCTCTTACTAACCAATTTGTCTCCATTTCAGCGATGTTGTCAAAGATGTGGTCTTTTCTCAATTAAAAAGGTTTTCTCAGAGATTGCCTTATAGGGAAAGGAGCCTCAGAGCAAAACTGGAACATACCTCCTGATTGTGCAATAATTTGAATACTACAGCTCTTGCCTCTCCAAAAGTCCAATATGTCATTAAAATCTACTTAAGTGAAAGTAGAAGTCCTAATTCTCTTTTCTAAGAAAAGCTACAAAAACAAGCAGCAGCTCATGGGGTCTTGTTTGTGGTGTTTTTTCAAGCCCCATTTCTGTGATTCTCTGCCTGCGCCAATGTATCATTAAAAAGATCAGGCGTCCACATCTGGAAAGGAACTCAACAGCTTCCAGACAAGGGGGAGGATCAGCCACAAGATGGAGGCCACAGCCCAGTTCGCTACATAACTGTGGCTTCTCTGATTTCTCCTAGATTCAAGAAAATTCCTCCTCTCATGGACTTGATAGACTGGGAAAAGTTCAGTCTTTATAAGGCTCTTGTTCTGGAGTCTGTATGGCTGTGTTTGTCCCTCCAAAATGACAGTTGAAATGATTTTGGGAATGTGATTAGACTATGTGTGAGCTGATTTTGCACTGTAATGGATACAATGCCCTTTGTTCTCTCCCAACAGCAGAAATGCACGTGTAAGAAATTTTAATTATTATGACTCAACTTCTCCATTTGAACGGCAACAAATAAAACTGTTGTTGTCACGTTTGAGTCAAACCAAATCTCTGGAGAGCAAATTACAAGCCAGCTGCCTGCTGATAGGCATCCCAGTAAAACTGTCTGCCTGCTTAGGTACACAAACATGTACATGGCAGGGTCAAGAAGAACTACATGCCAACATGTACACACACCAACGTATATGCCTATATCCTGTTGTAGTACTAAACTATTTGTCATTTACATAATATACTGTACATGCGACATTTTCTACAAAGAAAGACACCAAAGCTTTTTTCTTTGCAGTCAAACAGAAGATCCATCGAGGCCCTGCACAAAAGTAATCAACTGAAGAGATGAGCAAAACTGAGACAGGGATATTGAAACTCTGACACAGTGACATAAAGTTGTCAGGGTAACAGTCAGTGCAGCCAAGAGGGGTTCAAGCAGAAAAAAGAACCAGTGGCAGCCCTGTTTGTCTTTGAGCTATCCCTCTTAATCTGCTCAATTACTTAATGTAAATTAAGGCTATTGCTGTTGTGGTGACGTTGAAAATACGTCACTGAGATGAACTTATGACCTCTGGAGGAGGTTGGTGGGAAACATCTCCAGTGCTCACTGGAAACCTTTTACTCCCAGTCAGCACATTATTAATGCCATATGTAGTATATTTCTGGCTGTCAGCTTGCTGTAAGAGATGAGGCATCAACCTCTGTTCTGATCTCATGATTTGGTGCATGTTGCAGAGCAAAACATGGTGAAAGGAGTTTCAAGGTTAGAACCAGCAGATGGAGCCAGCATTCAAGAAAAGCAAACCAAACAGTATCTCTCCTATTTATTTATTCCTGCCAGTGTAAAGACGGCAGGGTCCTTTTACAGGACAATCGTAGCTCACACTGCATCTGCAAGGATTTAACTTGCAGATCCAATATATGATGATGGTTCTGCTCACTGGTCACCTTGCAATTTTACATTTGAGCCAAAATATCCCAAATTAATATATTTTTTTTTACTCAGTGTTTTGAACAGTAATATAAAAGAATCATTGTGCGGCATGTTAAATAATTTGGTAAAAGCAAAGAATTAATTCATGACAACAATGAGTTAAAAGGAAGCACACTGTAACCATTAAAATCCACCTACTAAAAGCATTATCTACATTAAAGTGAGACTGTAACTTTTGCTGAATGGCAGCCATTGTGGCCAAAAGGCATAACTGCAGGAAAAAAGTATTTAACATTAACACAAGAGTCATAAAGTCAGTGGCTGACTCATTAATGTCTTTTATATAGCAGTTCGCAACAATTAGCCACCACGAGCTACTGGTCACACCAGACCAAGTAAACTTGTAGCAACAAAACCCCTGATTGTGTTAATTGAACAGGGGTGTGTTTTATTAATAATAAATGAGACTCTTAATTTATAAGAAGAAGAATGGTATATCTCCCCCAAAATGATCAATTGCTTACAGTCACTTTAAACCGGCAATAACTGTTTGGCCACTTGAGGGCAGTGGAAACAACCTGAGCTGAGCAGGTAGTACAGGTTTTTTAAAAGAGCTTTTTCACTGAAAACAGCTGCTTTCTACGGATGAAAATTATGCTAAGAGAGCGGAGACAGTAAAGCAGAACGGTAAAGTTGTGGGCCGGTGTTGTGCCGAATTCTCCATGCCTGCCGAGAATTGCATGCACCTCGTGGGTGGTAACGCAAATTCATTCTGAGAAAAGTGGTGGATGCAAATCTCGGCAGGTAGCCTACAACATCTGTTCTGCCGATTATGAATTCACCTCTTGAGGTCCTTTTCAGACAGTTTGCTGTACACGTTGATTAAACGCGGTTATCACCACAAATTTTTGCTGAATCATAAGGAATGCTACTTCTGCTAAGTGTAAAAAATTGTTAACAACTCTAAATGTTCATAAAATATATACTTTGAATCATTTATCACCATTGATGAATCCCACAAAGGATATTATAGCGTTTAAAAGCAGTTTTTGGAGGTGCATGCAATTCTCGGCAGGCGTGCAAAACTCGGCATAACACCGGACAGTTAAACAATGAGCTGAAACGAGCTGCAGATTCAGGTGTAAATTCTTTGTAGGTTTATCACTATGAGCGACTACTTTATCTTTATAACACCGTTTCCACATTGCCATTTAATGCATTGAACAATACATGAAAAATATACATTATAGCTGCTTTAAGATGAAAGAAAAACATTTTTAGCACAAATACCACGTTTGAAGATGCACTAGTATAGTATACACATTATAAATAGTCTCAGCTTCTTTGGTTGGATTTCCAGTCACTTCCCCACACTTTCCCTGTGTTTCATGTATCACTGAGTGCTGGGAGGTCTTCTTAGCCTATCCTGTGGTCACTACTGCAGTGACCTATTTTTCTGTCAAAAGGCCATGTAATTAACAGAAAACAATTACTGCCTCTCTCGGGCGCACAAAGCACTCAATACCAGCATCTGTTCACTTCTTAATTACCTACTAGATAAGGAGCTTCATTTGAGAGAGGAACTCACAGCAGCAATCAATCCTTGCATTATACTTGGCTTGTTTGTCAGCATACTACTGTGTCAAATTGGAAGTGTGAGGTCTGTTCAGTTCAATTCTATTTGATTAGCTTCTCACTTACCTATATGAAATGTATTCATATTTAATTATCTTACATTTATTGTTTCTTTTTCCTCTTCTAATTTAGTCCTCTGTAAACTTTTGACCTGAAAGTATACTGTGGTTACCCGTTTTACTTTTCTCATTTCACCTGTTTGCTCCCAGGCTAGCGCTAACTTGGTTCTGCCTCTCCTTTGTTTAGTGCTGTTTTTTTGTTTAATTTTTCCCTATCGAAAAACCTCCTCTGGCAGACAGTGTGTCATGTCGATTAGAACAAGTTGCTTTGTAGAATTGGCTCAGTCAACTCCTGGCTCCAGTGTAGAAAGAATATGCTAAGGTAAAGCTGTAGTGAAGACTGTTTCTCAGAAATCCCATTGGCAGAATTGTGTGTCTTTGTACATTTGTAATGGTGTGTTGTCTTAAAGTGTAGTCGTAAAAATATGCATTTACAATTTTTGCTTTATTTTTAGCTCTAAGGGTCAGTCTGTCAGTCCACTACTATGGTCTAGAATGAAAATATTTAAGACCTATTCGATTGATTGCCATTTTGTACATTCATGGTTGCCAAAGAATGAATCCTACTGACTT